GTAGACGGTCCACATGTTGGGTAAACGGTCCACATGTTGGGTAAAAGGTCCACATGTTGGATAAACGGTCCACATGTTGGGTAAAAGGTCAACATGTTGGATAAACGGTCCACATGTTGGGTAAACGGTCCACATGTTGGATAAACGGTCCACATGTTGGGTAAACGGTCCACATGTTGGGTAAACGGTCCACATGTTGGGTAAAAGGTCAACATGTTGGATAAACGGTCCACATGTTGGGTAAACGGTCCACATGTTGGATAAACGGTCCACATGTTGGGTAGACGGTCCACATGTTGGGTAGACGGTCCACATGTTGGGTAGACGGTCCACATGTTGGGTAGACGGTCCACATGTTGGGTAGACGGTCCACATGTTGGGTAGACGGTCCACATGTTGGATAGACGGTCCACATGTTGGGTAGACGGTCCACATGTTGGGTAGACGGTCCACATGTTGGGTAAAAGGTCCACATGTTGGATAGACGGTCAACATGTTGGATAGACGGTCCACATGTTGGGTAAACGGTCCACATGTTGGGTAGACGGTCAACATGTTGGGTAAACGGTCAACATGTTGGGTAAACGGTCCACATGTTGGGTAAAAGGTCAACATGTTGGATAGACGGTCCACATGTTGGGTAAAAGGTCCACATGTTGGGTAGACGGTCCACATGTTGGGTAGACGGTCCACATGTTGGATAGACGGTCCACATGTTGGGTAAAAGGTCCACATGTTGGGTAAAAGGTCAACATGTTGGGTAAACGGTCCACATGTTGGGTAAAAGGTAAACGGTCCACATGTTGGGTAAACGGTCCACATGTTGGGTAAAAGGTCCACATGTTGGATAAACGGTCCACATGTTGGATAAACGGTCCACATGTTGGGTAAAAGGTCCACATGTTGGGTAAAAGGTCAACATGTTGGGTAAACGGTCCACATGTTGGGTAAAAGGTCAACATGTTGGATAGACGGTCCACATGTTGGGTAAACGGTCCACATGTTGGGTAAACGGTCCACATGTTGGGTAAAAGGTCAACATGTTGGATAAACGGTCAACATGTTGGATAAACGGTCCACATGTTGGGTAAAAGGTCAACATGTTGGATAAACGGTCCACATGTTGGGTAAACGGTCCACATGTTGGGTAAAAGGTCAACATGTTGGGTAAAAGGTCAACATGTTGGATAAACGGTCAACATGTTGGGTAAACGGTCAACATGTTGGGTAAAAGGTCAACATGTTGGATAAACGGTCCACATGTTGGGTAAACGGTCCACATGTTGGGTAAACGGTCCACATGTTGGGTAAACGGTCCACATGTTGGGTAAAAGGTCAACATGTTGGATAAACGGTCCACATGTTGGGTAAACGGTCCACATGTTGGGTAAAAGGTCCACATGTTGGGTAAAAGGTCAACATGTTGGGTAAACGGTCCACATGTTGGGTAAAAGGTCAACATGTTGGATAGACGGTCAACATGTTGGATAAACGGTCCACATGTTGGGTAAACGGTCCACATGTTGGGTAAAAGGTCAACATGTTGGATAAACGGTCAACATGTTGGATAAACGGTCCACATGTTGGGTAAGCGGTCCACATGTTGGGTAAACATCAGGATTCAGAAACAAATCATATATTATCTATTGATTTCCCTCCCTCCTCTTTATGCAGACACTGGGGTTGGCTGGGCTTTGGAGCTAGAGTTCTCTTCCACCAATCAGGAGTCAGTTAACAATTGTGAGCTTCCCTTCACTCTCCTTCATCTTTACAATGGACGATAACGACCTACTGGGCCAACGGAGTACAATCAGGCCATCACATCTCAGATCTATGCTGATGATCACTGATAGAGATGTAATGGGCGGTTTGCCTTTTATTAAACTGATTACAGCGATTAAGGAATATTTCTCTGAACTTATATTAATAATGCTGTGTCGTCTTCTGCTGGCATTTGATTGGCTAAAGAATGGGCACTGTAAAGCTAATTGTGTGTGTGATCGTGTGTGTGTGTTCATGTGTGTGTGTGATCGTGTGTGTGTGTGAAGCTAGTTAAGCTGCAGTTAAGCAGTATTAAATGGCTGTCTCTTTGAGTGTACTCTTAAACAGTGATGGATGTCGCCTTTCTCTTTCTGTGTGTGTGTGTCTTCTGTGTGTGTGAGTTCATGTGTGTATGTGTGTGTGTGAGTTCATGTGTGTGTGTGAGAGTGCATGTGTGTGTGTGTCCGCAGCAGTCCCTCGTTACCTCTCCACTGAGCCTTGCTAATGGACAAACAATTAACTGGCCTTTAACGACGTTAACGAGGTAATGAGCTCGTTAAGACGACAAAGCTGGGAAAGAGAGACACACACACACACACCACACACACACACCACACACACACACACACACACACACATTGTAAATGAGAGGGAAAATTGAAAATCTATAACTTCTTAGTTCTCTGCTTCTCTCTCTGAATTAAAGACCCTTATTGTGTGTGTGTGTGTGTGTGTGTGTGTGTGTGTGTGTGTGTGTGTGTGTGTGTGTGTGTGTGTGTGTGTGTGTGTGTGTGTGTGTGTGTGTGTGTGTGTGTGTTAATAAACTACAGTCACAATAAGACAAACTCGGCCTCTAAATGCCACCGCCGTCGCCCGGGTTACATCGTGAATACTAACGAGTGCATTCGTTAACATTCACCATGGCGACCTTCAGCCCCTCCCACATCGTATGAATATTAACGAGGCAGGAAGTGGAGGCAGTTTCATTGGTTTCCATTCTGATTATTGGAAGTGAAAGTGATAAGGAATGACCGCAGAGGGGTTTTATTATTTCACACCCGACAGGAAGTGACCTTTACTGAAGAGCTGTCAATCAAAGTGAGCGGCGGCCGTGGTATTTTACCGGGACAATATTTAACGGAGTGTTATTTTAATTCACAGGTTGAGAGAGAGAGAGTTAATCTGTCCGAGATAAGACTCCGTCATATTTCCATAATCCAGCCTCCACACACTCATCTGCATTCCCATCATGCACCTGGCCTCCAGAACACACATTTCCATAATCCATCCAGTTTGCAGAGGAGAAAAAACGTCCTGTTTACGAGACTCAAAATGAAGGCGGAGAAAAGGATGAGATAGTGGAGCAGCAGCTCAGTGTGAACGAGTCCGATGTGTTTTCTAATTTCAGACGTCGTGTTTTCTAATTTCAGACGTCATGTTTTCTGTAAAGGTCCTTCTCCTTCTCTGCCCTTACATCTAGTGATCGATGTTCATCAGTTGCATACATACCCTCCTGTTTCCTATCTTTCCTTATGGTGAAGTCAAACTAAAACATGTTTTTGCACACGTCACTGCTTTTCTGGTGATTTCAGTTCAGATTCTTTGTTTACTTTGGTTTCAAATAAGCATGTTTTCTTTCCAAGAAATTAGCCTGTTCTTGATTGAACGTGTTCTCTTTCCAAGCAAGTTAAGCGTTTTGTGAATTGACTTGTTTTGCTTTTACCAGGAATTAACGTGTTTTATTTTCTTAAAGGGGACCTATCATGCAAAATGCACTTTTGTACGTCTTTTCTACATGAATATGTGTCCCCGGTGTTCCAGGGAACTCACCAAGTGTCAGAAAACACAACCCTCTCTATTTTCCTCCATACCCAAATCTCTAAAAAAGGGGCTGCAACGGATCTGATAAAAACTGATCCAGATTTGAACACTGTCCTGACGTCAGGACGGTGGCGCTACGGCTATTGGGCCAACTCCACCAATCAGGAGGAGACAGCCACGGCCATTGCCGTTCGAAAGCGCTGGAGACGCTGTAGTACATATGCCAGGCCAGTAGATGGTGCTGTTCTCACTGAATCTGCCCTTGCTAAAACAGAGCTAAAAAATGTCAAATTGAGCGAAATGAGGCATGGCTAAAATGCATGATCTGTTTGGTATTTTGAAAAAAAAAAGTATAAATATGCCTTATATAGGTATGGTCCTACACTATATTATTCAAATATAGCATGATAGGTCCACTTTAAGTTTTTCCAAAAACCATGTTTACTTTACCAGGAATTAAGGAGTTTTTTTTAAGGACTGATCCGGTTTTCCTCTCGAGGAATCAACGTGCATGTTTCTGAAAAAACGTTTTTTCTTTCATTGGAATTTATGTTTCCTTTTTTTACAAGAAAATGACATTTCAAATGAACGCGTTTTCTTTGTTTTTTCAATTCAATTCAATTCAATTCAATAGCTTTATTATCATTGTGGGGGAGACTTCTGTGTAGCAATGCAGGAGGAGTCACCGACTCAGGAAGGAGACACGGGGAGAGCTGGAGCTTTGATGTCAAACACTGATGGTTTATTTAGGAGCTTCGGCCGGAGAATTCACAAAACAAGTCAGGAGTCAGAGGTTCTGACTTCACGGGAGAGTTGCCACGTCAATTCTGAAGAGCCTCTCTCTGATAGACCTTTTAACTAGTTCAGAGAGAGTAATCAACATATTTGGGGAGATAGACTAAACAGCTGGGAACACTGAATCACTTGCGTCTGACGCTTATGGCCTCGAAGATTTCACACCTTGGAGTCCACAAACCCCAAGAAGGAAGTGTTCCAGTGTACCCACAACAATAAACCATTTGTGACCGAGAGTTGCCCGGTCACAAACTGGTAACAGCAACATACGGCTGATAACGTCAAAGGGCAAAAGGTGGATATCTAAGCATGACCACAGTAACATACAGTATTGCTAAAGCTCTGTATATATGCGATGTGAGACCGGGTGTTCCCTCAAACTGTGGCAGGCAGAGACAAACTGTCCAGCGAGAATTCAGCTCTCTTTATATCCCCCGAGTAATATTTTGAGATTTTCATTTTTAAATATTTGAGGATGCTTACTATTGAGTTTCGGGAATAATTGTTTCAGTACAGGTTCAAATTGCTGGCATTGTTAACTCCTCCCTCTCTCTCTCTCCCCCTCTCTCTCTCTCTCTCTCTCTCTCCCTCCCCCCCCCCCCCTCTCTCTCTCTCTCTCTCAGGGCGGGGTACCTCCCTCAGGGCGTTCCCTTGCAGCTGATTGGCTACCTGCCGGAGGAGCCTTCCTTCCTGCCGTGGCACTCTGCCAGCCGGGCTCTCTATCAGCTCGACAAGCTGCTGGACCGCACCGACGAGTACAGCCTGTTCAGCGTAAACACCTCAATCAATTACCATGGCAACAAGTCAATTAGAATAGAATATAATGCTTTATTGTCATTATACAGGTACAATGAGAAGAGTAGAGCTACTCTCCTTTTTTTAAGGTGCCATTATTAAAAAAAAAAAATCCAAGATTCGTACAACGTTAATTAACCGTGTGTGTGTGTGTGTGTGTGTGTGTGTGTGTGTGTGTGTGTGTGTGTGTGTGTGTGTGTGTGTGTGTGTGTGTGTGTGTGTGTGTGTGTGTGTGTGTGTGTGTGTGTGTGTGTGTGTGTGTGTGTGTGTGTGTGTGTGTGTTTTATAACAGGACTACGTGTTGAAGCAGGTTGCGGCTCGGTATCATCGTATGGGTTGGCCGACTAACGTTCCCGGCAGTGAAGGCAACGTTCTGCAGGCGTCCTACCAGACTGAGTACGACACACACACATAAACATTCATCTGTTTGCATTTTGCTAATTATCTATCTAATTTATCATATTCCATTTACTCTTCTTGCACTATTTTATTTCTATTTACTTGCACATCTCAAAACATTCTCTTGCACTATTTCATCTGTTTTCTTTGTTTTAGGTCCTATATATATATTCATGTTGCTCTGATGGAGGAGCCTGAGACTTCAGTTGTTCATAGACATATCTACACTGTAGCTGCTGTGCACATGACAATAAAGCCTTGAAACACACACACACACACACGCACACACACACACACACACGCACACACACACACACACACACACACACGCACACACACACACACACACACACACACGCACACACACACACACACACACACACACACACACACACACACACACACACACACACACACACACTCACACACACCTATATGAGACTAATCCCACAGCCACACTTCAGGGCTCTCAGGATACAGCCGCTTCATGCTCTTGCATATAGATCTGTATATAACGTGTGTACTTTTAAAAAGACCTTCACTTATCCATCACTGCGGCACGACTTGTGCAAATGATGGAGCTTATATTCATTCAATTAAATCCGGTAGCTTTCATTGCAAATAGTCTCTATGTCTACCTCACACATACTTGGACAGAATAAACTCCAACTTATTTTAATGTTAAAGCTCATATTTATGTATTTAAATCAAATTGGTTGACGTTCAAAACCCCAAAAATGGCGTTTAATTCCTTCTTTTCCTCCTTTTCCTCCACAGGGAGCTACAGAGGGAGCTAATCATGTTAGCATGTAGCTTCGGGAACAAACAGTGCCACCGTCAGGCTGTCACTTACATCTCTGACTGGATCTCCAGCAACAAGAACAGGTAACACACGCACACACACGCACACACACAATCACACAAACACACACACGCACACACACGCACGCACACACACACACACACACACACACACACACTCCATGCTTTAATGTTCAAAAAGCTCCTACTGCCTGTGCTGCAGCACCTCTTTTCACCCTCTGTCTGAAACCAGAGCCCAGTCTGCTCTGATTGGTTAGCTGGCCGGCTCTGTTGTGATTGGTCAACCAGCTTAGAGATGTCCCGCCCCTTTAGCCTATTATATCACCTACAATGTGTTGGAGCGCTAGCCAATAAGAGCGCGAGTGTTCTGTAGTGATGTCACCGTGTTCCGGAACTTTGTGATTTAACCCTTTACATGCACAGAAAACACTAGAGGAAAGGGACAACCCCCCAAAAAGCAGAATAGGGGCTCTTTAAAGTAATACAAATGAACTTAAATGATAAGTGATTTGAAGGCTGCATCTCCAAACAAACAATAAACCCTTATTCTAAATGTAATATGTTATTTCTAATGTTTTTATCTGAGTGCAGAAACATGTCCCGGCGTTCCCATGTGACGTTCTTTCAATTAACCTGAGAGAGTGAGCGAGGAGCCGTTCCCTCTCTAATCAATGTGTTTTATTTTCTCTTTATGCGCTCGTCTCTCCCGGCGGTTCTTTAACGAGATGATCGGGATTAGATTTCAGAGACAGATTAAACAGAGACAGATTAAACAGAGACAGACGCTGCTGCTGTGTTCAGGGCAGCGGGGGGGGAGAAATTAAAAATATCTGAATTAAACAGAAACACTTCAGACGCCGGAAACACTGAGGGTGTTTCCCAATGTCGAGGAAGGATGCTCCAGAGCCATAAGGATGCTACGTCATCGAGTCTTAAAATCCCCACAATGCTTTGCGCACGGACCAATTTCCCAAATCTTTGGCGGAAATCGCGCTCCATTTAAGGCGGGGCCTCTCATATGACGCACACCTGTTAGCCTGTTAGCCTGTTCCACAATTCTTCGTTTTCCGAGGCTAGGAAGGATTCTTGCCTCGCTTCTGAAGGAAGTGACTCGGAAGACATGTCCTACCAAGGAAGCGTCCTCGACATTGAGAAACACCCTGAGTCTCTGAGAGGGAGCACAGACTCATGTTGAAAGTCATATTTCATTTTGTTTTATTTACTTTTTCCGTTTTTTGCATTTTTTACTTTACTTTTTATTTGATTGTACCATTTCACCTAACTACTTATTTTTATATATTATTTTGTATCTGTTTTGTTTAATTTTTACTTTTTAAGGCATCTTTTTTATTGTAATAATTTTGCCTTTTTTTCTCAAATTCTTATTTTAATATAATATTTATCTTAATTTTTTATTGAAGATGTTTACTTTACTTATATTTTTTCTTAACTTCTTATTTTTATATGTATATATTTGTCTGCGATGTTTAATTTGAACTTTTAATGCATATTTGTATTCTACTTTTTTCTTTTAATTGTTCATCCCTGAGTTGGATCCATTAGAGCACACGTGTCAAACTCAAGGCCCGGGGGCCAAATCAGGCCCTTGGTGGATTTAATTTCAGCCCGCAGGGTCATTTCTAATTACTATTAGATCTGGCCCGCCGGTATATTGCACGCACACCTTCACTCCATCCTGAGGGTCTCCTCAGCTCAGAGCCTGACCCCAAACATTGATGAACTTGCACCCAAGATGAGATGCCAAGTATCTGAGCTAGCATCACAGCAGCAACCTGAGTTCACATGTTTCCTTCTGCACTTTTTCTCTCACGTCAACAGGGCATGTTTGGTTTGTTCTTTGAGGGGAATAGTTTTGTTGAAGCTGTTGTTGGCCTGTGGAAAAATGTAATCATAAGAAATGACTCTGGAAAATCTGCAGATGGAGCCATAAGAAATGAATGCAACTGATTATTTAATGTTTCATGTTGTTTTTATAGGCAATCATTTAAGCTTTGTTAGTTCCAGGTTTAATATGTGCAATAAGTTCAGTTCAATATAAGTTCTGCAATAAACATTGAACCAGTCCGGCCCTCGACTAGTACCCATTTTTTTATTTTGGCCCACTGTGTATTTGAGTTTGACCCCCCTGGGTTAACACATAAATACGTTTTAATTGTATAGCATTGAGAGAGTATCAGAGAGCTGTCCCTCTGATATGTAACACCCCCCCCCCCCCTTCTCGCAGCACCTGCTGGAAAATCACTCAGGGTAAATTTCCATCCGGAACAAAGAGAGTAATTACTGCAGAGCTCGGATAATAGTTAACATCCGTGAGGAATATTAATGTTGTCCCACCGGCTCTCAGTGAACCCAACACACGGGGAATACAGAGAGGGTTTCTAAATCTCAGGGATTAACCTGGTGGGGGGTTCAGGGACCTAAATAGACCCCTTTAACTTATTCTCCCTGAGTCCAGGTTTATTAAGTACATTTACTCATCATGTCCTGTATAGTTATTATACAGCAGTGTTTAGCTCATTTCCACCTGTTTTTAGGACAACACCCTGCTTCCACTTTTAATTCAAACTGCTCACACACACACACCTGTCATCTTTAAAAAAAACTCACCTGTTCACCGTGGCCTTTGACCCCAAACCCACCACAGCCTCCTGCTTCCACTCCCACTGCTATTTGTTATATATATATATATATATATATAATTAATCAAATACAAACATATATATTTAGTATTAGTATTTGTCTTCAGCATTTTTTATTCAGCTACACCCATTTAATTTACATGTATTATTAATATTTATAATTTTATTCTAATTAATTTACTTTTTTTTAAATGTTTTATATTCATTGTGTCATTTTTTTAAATAAATATATATTTTTTAAATATATTTTAATAGGCTCTTTTATTACGTCCCTCTGTCGGGGCTTCAGTGCTTTATCACTCAGACGGTGCGTTCACTGTCAGGACGGGAGTTTGATGCAGATGAAGAATGGAGTGGGAGGCAGAGATATTTCAGGAGAAAGATAGAGCTGTAGGACATAAAACACTCTCCACAGACTGTTAAACACACACACCCACACACACACACACACACACACACACACACACACACACACACACACACACACACACACACACACACACACACACACACACACACACACACACACTGTTAGTTAATGGGATCAAAGCCATCTGGAGGTTCTCTGTTTGTTCTGCAGGGTAAAAAAGTCTTTACTGGTAATAAAATAGAAATACTAGCAGTACTAGAAGTAGTAACAGTACTAGGAGTAGTAATATCCTTAGTAGTAGAAGTACACACAGTGGTAGTAGTACACACAGTAGTAGAAGTACACACAGTGGTAGTAGTACACACAGTAGTACTTAATATTGTACATGATAAATAACTGGGAGAAGTTTATAGCCGATGTTATCTCGTTAAACACACAAATATTCATACACACACACACACACACTTAAGTGTTTGGGAGACGCCGTCAAGAAGGACTTTAACGTGTGTGTGTGTGTGTGTGTGTGTGTGTGTGTGTGTGTGTGTGTGTGTGTGTGTGTGTGTGTGTGTGTGTGTGTGTGTGTGTGTGTGTGTGTGTGTGTGTGTGTGTGTGTGTGTGTGTGTGTGTGTGTGTGTGTGTGTGTGTGTGTGTGTGTGTGTGTGTGTGTGTGTGTGTGTGTGTTGAAGCTTGCACTTAAGTGGAGCATCTCTGAAATGATTTCCCAGGTCGGTGAATGGTGTAATTGTCCCTGCATCACTCACTCTGCAGTCGCTCAGAATACACACACACCCTGCTTACACACACACACACACACACACACACACACACACACACAGTGTTCAGTATAGCATTGTTGCTGCCAGCTGAGCTCACTGTATTGTGATGAAGGTTTTTAGCTGTGCTTTACTGACAATTTAGGTCAAGTACACACACACACACACACACACAATGTCATTATAGTGTGAGGAAATGTATGTTCACCCTTTTTATTTGATGTGTCCAGCTGGGGCATTGTTAGTGTAGAACATCCTTTTATCATTTTACAGTAGTGTAGCTTTTAAAACCAGGAAAGAATAATACTAAAGATTAAACAATGTCCAGAAAAGTCACATCGCATTCTTCCAAGCCATACGTCCACAGGCCATTGGTGTTTTGGGGACTTTTTGGAGTTCCAGTTGGTGCCAAAAGTGACTTTAATTGTGTTTTCCCTCAGTGAATCCAGAGGTGAAGTAAGGGGAGTTTTAAAGCCGCTCCCTAATGGAATCAGAATGACTTATTTAGCTTCCACAGAGAGTCCTGCTTAATCCTGTGGACGTGTCTTATCTGGGTTTTTACTTCATTACCTCTCCTGGTCCACTCTAACTCTCACTCCCTGTCTCTGAAACATCCTCACACACTTATTGCATCACTACAATGGGACACAAACTTCACTTATTTGTGTCTTTTTGTTGCATATTTTGTCCGTCTAATGGCTGGTTGTGTGTATTTGCAGGATTCCTCCCAACATCAGGGACATTGTGTACTGCACCGGGGTCAGCCTGATGGACGAGGACGTCTGGGAGTTTATCTGGATGAAGTTCCACTCAACCAGCGCCGTTTCAGAGAAGAAGATCCTGCTGGAGGCCCTGACCTGCTCCGACAACACCTTCCTGCTCAACAGGTACCAATAACTCAAACCTGGTTCTGGTCCTAAAACTATAAAAACAGACACCTTTTGACAGCTTTAAACTCCGGTAACACCTCCAAAACGCTCTGGGTTTACTGGAAGCTGATCTTATCCGTTTGCACGTCAACTAACAGCATATTTTCATGTCTGTTGAAGGCAATGTGTTTGCTTTAGTCTTTCATTAAATCTGTTTTACCCTTAGGTTAAACAGCACTCAATTGGTGATTTTACTGATTTATTATGGACTCAGCAGGATAACACATATTAACACCACTTTATGATTTATGAAGTAAAAAGCTAACGTTGGGCTATAAAGGAACTACAGCACGGTCACATGACTTCACGTCACCACCGCTAAGCTAAAGGTGGCTAATGTTGGGCTATAAAGGAACTACAGCACGGTCACATGACTTCACGTCACCACCGCTAAGCTAAAGGTGGCTAATGTTGGGCAATAAAGGAACTACAGCACGGTCACATGACTTCACGTCACCACCGCTAAGCTAAAGGCGGCTAATGTTGGGCTATAAAGGAACTACAGCACGGTCACATGACTTCACGTCACCACCGCTAAGCTAAAGGAGGCTAATGTTGGGCTATAAAGGAACTACAGTACGGTCACATGACTTCACGTCACCACCGCTAAGCTAAAGGAGGCTAATGTTGGGCTATAAAGGAACTACAGCACGGTCACATGACTTCACGTCACCACCGCTAAGCTAAAGGAGGCTAATGTTGGGCTATAAAGGAACTACAGTACGGTCACATGACTTCACGTCAACACCGCTAAGCTAAAGGAGGCTAATGTTGGGCTATAAAGGAACTACAGCACGGTCACATGACTTCACGTCACCACCGCTAAGCTAAAGGCGGCTAATGTTGGGCTATAAAGGAACTACTAGCACAGTCTCACGGGATTTCGTGTTATAGTCACGAAATTAATCTATTGAATCGTGTTCACCAACACGATTTCGCAATTTCTTTCGTGTCACACAGAACGATTTTTAAAGCAATGTATTTCTATTGGTAGTATGTTTCGTGCCTGCACCAAATAATAACAAATTAGAAGGAAAAAAAGATGACAAAAAATACAGATTTCAGTATTCTGAGGCTCTGAGCCATTTATTTTCCTCGCGGACGGCAAAAAAACTCCGACATTATACAATTTAAAATAAAAGGGATAGGGTTAGGCTTAGGGTAAGATATTGAGTAAGAACATGTTTTTATGAACCACACAGCTTCTGGTCTTCCAAGACCCGACCGGACAAAAAGACGTGTTGCAGGCACGAAACATACTACCAATAGAAATACATTGCTTTTAAAATCGTTCAGTGTGACACGAAAAAAAGGGGAAAATCGTGTTGGTGAACACGAATCAATAGATTAAATTAATTTTGTGACTATTACACGA